GCAATTTAAGAATAAGTATATCTTAACTTATTTCTAAGAATATCCTCGGAAATATGAAAGAGATCGAATTTTGTATTATTCCCGTTTATGACTATTCTTGATAAAGGAGAATGCATTCCATAGTTACACCTATGGTAATCTATTGCAAAGGTTAGATTATTTCGTGTTTTTCTAGAGGGAACATGAAGATTTACTTGGGCAAGAAGAGTTGAGCAATTAATTCTAAAATTAAGCAATTTATGAAGGAATATAATATCTATATGTTCTCTGCGTAAACTAAGTTTCGGTAAACCAGTTACAGACCGAATTTCTGAAAAAGAGTGATCACTGAGAGGTATAGACAACTTAAAGGCAATATATTTTATAAATTTGTTTTGTACTTTTTCTATAGTGTACTTATGAATTTCATAAGTTGGTGACCAAACACAGCTACAATATTCTGTAATCGATCTAACCAAAGTGAAATACAATAACTTAATAGAATTAATGTTGGTGAAGTCATTTGTAGTCCTGCATACAAAGCCTAACATTTTCATTGCTTTGCTAAAGATCTGTTCATACTGCAGGTGAAAATCCATTTTGACATCCACCACTACACCAAGATCTCGTATGGATTTCACAAATTCTAATAGTTTGCTTGCTACAGTATACATATTGTTGTAATGAGTAAGTGATCTAGAAAAAGACATACTTTTGCATTTAGACACTTCACATCCATATCATTGTCTACACACCATTCAGTAAAAGATGTAATGTCATTCTAAATATGTTCGTAGTCAACTGTGTATACAATGGTTTTGAATATTTTCAAGTCATCAGCAAACATTAATACTTCAGAATGACTAATTTTGGTTTTGATATCGTTGACAAATATATTAAATAGGAATGGCCCTAAATGGCTTCCTTTTACAACTTGTGTTCTGTTACATAGATAATTTGTATAAATTCTGTATAAATTCCAAGTATTTTTGTTACAATGGATCTTTTTACAAACAAATTTTTGGGTTGGGAATGGGTAATTGTATGTCACCCATTCGTGCAGACTTGGTCATGGCAGAACTACAAAATATATGCATTAAGAAGTTGTTATTTTCACTGCCTGTTTTCAAAAGATATGTTGACGATATTGTTACTTCCATTCCAAAAAACAAACGAAACTGAAATATTAGACACTTTTCATAGTTTTCATCCAAAACTAAAATTTACTCTAGAAATGGAAGAAAACAATTCGTTAGCATTTTTAGATACTAAAATAATCAATGATGCAAACCGAATTTTAAAGGGAGACTGTTATCACAAATCAACTTTTTCTGAGAGATTTTTAAATTATTTTTGAAAACATAATTTTCAAAGTAAAATCAACATTATAAGGAATTTGAAATCAAGAGCAATTGCCATTTCCAATTCTGTATTCCATAACAAAAATCTCCAATTAATTGAGAATTACCTAGTAAAAAATAATTTNACACCATTGAAGTGTGAAGTCAAGAAAGTCCTAAAAGAAGATCACCCAAATACAGAGTAAGATACGTTGAAAGACAAATAAAGATCGACGAACATTTTTGAAACAGGTGAACAAATTCGGTAATGTTGAATAAATTAAAGAGGATTGTATAAAATATGACATTACTGCTTTCGAATGAAACTTTATTTTTCTCTAATCTATCCAAAATAAGTATCTGCCGTTATAAGTTTTATGTATGTACATTTTTTAGGCAACAGTATCTGGATCCCAGTCGTGTTTCTTTCTCTCGAAGTTGCTCAAAATGCTCATATCAGCTTCTGGGATATTGAAGTTGAGATCAATATTTTGTTCCATGTGTTCTTTCGAACGAGCTTTTGGAATGATAGCAAGGTTCTGTTGAAGAGACCAACGCAGTAAAATCTGGAAAAAAAGAACACACCATTTTTTCAGTCTCCATTTGTTACCTACTTGAAATAAAATATGTGAATATAAAAACTTGTTTTTAATATAAAATATTTTTAAAATGATCTCGTTAGCAGAATCGACAGGTACAAAATTGATTACCGTTTATTTGGTCTGATACAAGTTCACCATCTCTTCAAAATCTCAATATGTAGTGAGTGGGATAGTATGGCATTGTCTGTGCTTATGTTTACCTCAAAAATTTCTAATTATCACTGGAAGAAATGGTAAAAGCCAGCGGTGGCTCGTCAGAGAAGGCAAGGGAGGCTTAGCCTCCCCATAAAATTTGAGGCTATTCATGGCAATAAATTAAAAGATATTGACAAATAATTATGATCATTTTTTTCTAAAAATGCTTGGGTATCATTACTTTACCATAAATGCCATACGTTGCAAGGGAGCCAAGCCTCCGACAGCTTTAAAAAACACAAGCTCCGCGAGACCGATCCAACCAGCGACATTCGTCCCGATTTGTAATTTTATATGCAGAAATTATAGCGTTAGAGGAGGCTAGCCTCCAGTTGGTCTCCGTTAGTGTACGACTGCGTTTGTTTTCTTGCTAAACAATAAAATTTACTTTTAGACCTGTTTTCATAAGCATAATTAAGTACTTGTGCTTATGAAATATTTGTAGCAATTTTTAACAAAACTGTTATATTAGAAGAGAAAAGTATTATTTATTGACTGAGAAGAGTTCATTTATATTAAATAACTCAAAGACATCTAGCTGTATACGTGAATTCTG